AAATTTAATTAAATAAACTCACCGATATAATTTGACACAGAGATATTTAAATAAAAAACTAATGATTATGTATACACAAAGTAAGAGTAATTTGTCGATGGCTGAGAACTGATATACTATTCATGCCTACCTTTATAGTTTGAATCATATTTGCTTAAATTGTTATTCAATTTTAATACATACATATATAAATATATACCTTATTTATATAWAACCTAAYATATCACTGTACCAAATTTTCGTCGCAATTAGTTCAGCCGTTAGGTATGCATAAAGGACAAACAGACAGACAGAAATCCATTTATATATATAAATTATATATATATATCTGTTTATGAATACCTAACGGCTGAACCGATTGCAACAAAATTTGGTACAGAGTTRTTTTAGACCTATTCGCAGAAAATAGGCTAAGTTAAAAAGTAATTTGCTTAAATATCATTCAATTGAATATTTGAATTGTCAGACTTTTCTCGATAAAACGAATACATTTACATAATGATAGACTAAATTGAATATCGTTATAAGATTATTACTTACTATATGTTAACCGTTATCTATCTATATTCTATATACCTATGTATAAAAATATACTTCTAGCATAATCACAGGAAACACATTTAACACAGTTTAAGACATATAAGAGGTAGGATTTTGAACGGGCTACGAAGTGCACGAGTTCAGCTAGTATAAGTAGATATACATCATGTAACTTTTTTATTATTCCCTGGAACATTGATGAGGCATGATGAGAACTGTAAGAAATAACTGCAATATTCTGACTTGAATATTATATTATAATATTACAGGGAATCAAACACATTTATCTTTGATTCATAAGATATGACTGATTTCATAAATGAAACTTATAATTTTAAATATAAATATAAAATAAGTACATTTCTAGGTATATTACAATAATACATCATATACTTTTTTGAAAATGTATAGGTAGGTATATTAATTTTTTATGGATTTTTTTTTTATTATAACGAAATATACCCTAGGCGACATAGGCCATTGGGTCACAAAATGTTAGTTACATTAGGTTGAGTTTACATTGACAACTATACTATTTTACAGTGTTCATTTTTATGAATTATTATACAGGTAAAATGTAATACAAATGTATACAGCAGATCTAAAAAAAACTCGAAGTAATTAATCACAAGCTAGTCAAGAACACGAAGAAATGAATATAAATTATTTTAATGGTCTGACTATGAAATTATAATTTATTTCTTATTTCTTATCTAACTTAATATGAAATGTGCCTAACGACGGCTATGTCATTTACAGAGCGAATAATGAAAACACTCATGATGCATGTAGTTTACACTAACACAATTTAATACAATAAAACAAAATTGTAAATATTATTTGTCATCGAAGAACAATTAAGATAGTAGCTAGTTAATTCAATAATAAGATGTACATGAACAAATGAGTAAAGTTTAATATAAGTATTTAATAATAATGGCAATTTATTTTAATAATAATATTACAATAAATTGTGATTGGCCTTTGACTACCATTCAGTTTTAAAAATGTTATAAGATAAAAATAAAGAAAATTAGTTGACCTCGTAATTWTTTATTAACTTCGAGATTTTCAAGAAGTTATTTTAAATAAAAATAAAAATAAATCACCATTCAGATTTTAGAAAGTCTTATCTTAGGTCCTAACAAGGTCTGTCCAAATATGCCTATAAAATRAAATAATTTTASTATAATAGATATATTACATAATTTATTATAATACATTAGAATCAAAGACATTCTGTAGTTGATGTACAATAATAATACAATATAGGATGCACAAGTTACAACGATATTTTTCGTTTTCCAAAAATAATCAAAATAATGTGAGGTAAATTACTGTTGAAAATAAGTAGTTAAGTCCCTTCAATGTCGTTCTGAGCAATTTGTTTCGATGTTCAATGAWTGAGTCCATCTATAATATTGTTATAAATATATCAATACGAGGTTTTCAATTCACATCAAACATGTATGCGATACAAAAATTGAAAAATTAACAATTTCTATAACGAGTCTTGAACTCCGAACGAGTAGATAGAACGCATACAATATTTTATCATCACCGGTGAAATATGTAATCGCTAAATCAGAACGTTCATACCGTTATGGTGTCGACGAGTGATGACAATCATATAATAATATTTATGCCAATAATGTTATGCTCTCTCGTTAAACGTCAATCATCGGTAATCACGTGTGGACACGTCAATTGACAAAAAAAAAAAAACAAATTTCACTGTTACAAATATTTCCACGACGCATCAACAAAGACCATACGACCTCATATGGTTGCAATTTCATGTTTTATTTGTAGTACGGAGTGCAATGGTGCATACTATTGCCGCAAGAACTTATTTTGTTATAAATTCTAATTGATAATTTTGAAATGATAGGACCCGATTATCATAGTATAGTTTAGATACACCTAAYATTAAATATTTGTTTTCAGGCTCATCCAAAAAATCCAGGATGGCCAATATAATATAGAGCTTGAAATTTATGTAAATATTTTGAAAGTTGAATTATACTAATTTCCATAAAATGTTTTAAGTAAAACAGTCGTGTTTTAAAACGTAAAGGAAGAAGAGGAGTAGACAAACGGGTATGTACAACAACAAACAAGGTTAGGTTAGGTGATCCTAACCCTAGACATTAGGCGCCCTGTTAACATAATAATAAWATAGTCGTCATTATTACGACAATATACGCCAAATGCTCGAACATGCCAAATACCGACACGTGTGTACGTTGAGTTGCCACATCAAATTCGCAGTAGTATATTCTATTATTTTATAATACAATAATAATTAATAAAACAATATATAAATATTGTTTATTACTTGTCTTTTTACACTGAACAACGTCAAAAACGATTACTGTTATGGTACTTTTATATTGATCAAAAATCACAATATCGATATAATAATATACAGACACGATAAAATATTAAAATGTATAGATTTAGATTATTGTAGTAGCCAATGTCGTAGAATCGTATTACAACACAATATTTCAGAACGTTATAAAATTATTAAACACATTATAAAACGTCGCATACAACCGTTAACGATAAAAGTTCAATCATAATGCGTTTGTTAAGTTGTAGCCATAACTATATTTGTAATGGATAGATAATCGATACTAGCTTAAAATCAATTTTTTTTTTTGTATAATATAGAGGACGTGATACCCACATGTGTTATCTTCGTCTTACAAGTGCGAAACATGGCAAATTTTACGTTCAACATGTTGATCTGCAGATCACACTTTGCTCCGTTAGTTTAAAAGTTAGAATTATACAATTTAAAGGTAAGAATATTATTTAGACGGCCTCATGGGCTTTTTGTTATATTTTGATTCTGAAGTGAGTTAAATTTGGTTTCTTAGTTATGACTGAAGTCTTCTTGGTTCTTTCCACGCAAAACCGTTTTTGCTAGGTATGTTTTATATTTGTAAAACGAAAACAATACATGCAGATGGTCCTCTTAACACCATTACACTACATTTATAAAACGTAAGAAAAATATTAAGTTAATTTACTCTGGATAAATACAATATACTTACTATTTTGGAAATTCTTATATCTATAATTATTTTTAATTTAATTACCCAAGTCCAAATTGTACACTCAAATAATTGGATGTGATATAATAATATGTKGTAGGTACAAATAATAATAATCATGTTTTAATAGTATTAGATTAAAAAACTTACCTTCCATAACATAAACAATACTGCCCACATCTCCTTCTTTAATAATAATGCTGTCGGAAGCATACTCAACGGGATACATACAGTCCACTATCTCTCTAATCTGTGTTGATTCCAAGTTTTTCATGAAGTCGTTGTCCAAAATAGCACCTTTTATCAATTCCCTAGACCTGGAAAGTAATTTCAATTTTAATATTAAAATTATTATTACTAATATAATTATTGTTGTTGTTGCTGATATTATTGTTATTTATATTAACCTAATCAATTATTGGTAAACATAAATAATTGTTACATTACATAATTTTATGCAGCTATCGTAGGGGGGGGATATTAGTGGTCACCCATCCGGGAACTAGTGACAAAGGCCGATGCTTGACCTCAGCACAAGTTCCCAAATGCGGCAAACCATAGTGTCACAAATATACGATATTAAAAACAATCTAGAACTAAATCGTTTTATGCACATTTTTAATCAATACTTTTATTTAAAAGTAAATTTAGAATAAACAATAAAACTAATTGATAAATTTGTACAKATAGGTATTTCGAAGCTTTAATATTATAGCTATCACAGTAATAGTAAAGCTTTTTATTAGTTTGAAAATGTAGGTGGAAATCGAAAAATAACACCATTAACTGAATAAGCACTGTGCAGCTGAATATACATATTATATTACCTAAATTAGTTTTRAGTAATCACTAACTAATGTAAAATTCCGATATTTTGCCAGAGYATTTCACAAAATATATCCCTATTATTTTAGGCAACTAGTTATGTTTTTATAACAATTCGTTTGATACCATGCCAGTAATAATTGTACGTAATAAAAACCATTTTTTTTCACATCATTATTATGATTTCTAATTTATTTTTTAGAGCAACAAATAGTTCAGAATTTTGGAGTTTTCGAAAATACAATAAAGTAAATAATTATTTAGGGAGCATGTATTATTGTTTATTAAGAAGTTTTATTTTGATATGTTATACCGATTATTATGATATGACATGTTGACATGCTATATAAATTATGACAAATGCAAAATATATTGTTCACGCCACGCGGGGTCGTGTTGTTCCCCAGGTAATATTATCAAATATAGTTT